CTCCTCTGGGGTTTATATTGTAAGCCCCTTTAGCGCAGAAACCTGCATTGCATTTGTTTACTAAACCATGCAGGGAAGGCAAGCAACCTCCAGGAGAGGTTACTTCTGTGATCGTACAAACAAGTTGTTGTTGTGTTAAATGGGGGGGGGAAAGGGTCTCCGGAAGAGAAACCAAGCACTCTGCTCACCGGCAGTGGTTGTGACTCCCCAGGCCCAACTGCTGAGCATCCATCCTCACGGCAGTGTAGACTTTGCCAGAAATCAGGTGGGAATCCCATCTCAGGCAAGTGGCTCCAGAACTCGTGCGGCTCTCGCTCCCTCGGTAGTCGGCACCCCTTCCGGAATAACAGGTGTGCTGCTCTGTGGCAAGGCGGGGGGGAAAGGGGGGCACGTTTAATCCAGAAAGAGCTGCTCCCGTGTCATGTCCGTGGGCTGTTCGTTCCGATCACCGGGAGGAGGTGCTGAACAAGCCCCAAACTAAATTCTTCACCTCTTATGATCTGATCTTTATCCCTACCACTCCCTCCCCCATTTCCCCTCCTCCTCTGGGGTTTATATTGAAAGCCTCTTAGCACAGAAACCTGCACTGCATTTGTTTACTAAACCATGTGGAGAAAGAGAAAGCAAATTGTAGGTTTAAGAGTCCTACGTCCTTTAGTTTAAAATGTGAGGCCTTCCAATCAGAGCCGAGAGCAGGAGGAAAGAACTAGGATGAAGCTACATATATATATTTACTGTTAGGCACAAACCAGGAGACTACAGACAAGATACTGACACAAAACGCTTAAAACTGGTCATCCGAGAGTTGCACAGAGCTGGCCAGGTGAGGGACACAGACTGTGAGACTAGCTAGAGGGATGGACGGATAGACAGACAGAGAGACGGAGAGACAATCAGAATGATGGCTACACACATTTTCATGAAACATTCATTTGCACTAGCACTCTTAAACAGAAAGACCCAGTATCCAGCTTGGCAACCCCAAGGTACCAAAACATACAACGTGCCCATGGATCCTGCAAGGAAGTGTGTGCACAGGATCACAGTCTTGCTGTCTGTGTAGGAAGACAAACAGGAGCAAGAGAGCTTTGTTGATCTACAGCCAATCACCCAGAGAACTATCAAGAGATCCAGAGCTAGCTATCCCATGCTCCTCCTGTGGAGCCCCATGGGTACCGATGTCCCTGGAGAGATAATTAAAGCATATATAGGGGAAGCAGAGGAGTAGATTCAACACAAGTTAGTGTAATGCCCTTTTTTAAAAAAGAAGGGTCCAGGCCAGAGTCCAGCAGGAGGCACAGCTCTCTCTGGGTCTTTTGTGCGCCTGCGCATGCGCACATGAGAGATTTAGATCTAAGCCATGTCATGGAGTCCAACGTCTCCCTCTCCTCTCTTCTGACCACCCCTCCCAATGCCAACTGCCCCATTCCTTACAAATTTTAGCAAGAAAAGAAAAGAAAGAGGGGAGAATGAAAAGAATGAACAAGAAAGGATGTTGCAGATACATCTGGACGTCTGGCAGGAAGTTCTCGCACAGCCCCAATTCCCAGGAACAAACCACAGATCAAACTATAGAGAAAGGCGGCATCCTGCCAGAGGCCGCATTTGTCTAGGGCCAGCCATCTGCGCTCAGCCCTGGCTGCTTTGGAGAAAAATTCTTGCAAGCCCCTAAAGGAAGAGTTTCACTCCTGCCACATCCTTGGAGTAAAAGCGCATGGGTGTTAAAGTTTATTCTCCTCCAAGCAATAAAGTTCCCCCTTCCACGCGCTAGTGCCCTTGCACATAATTTTGGTTTGCAGAGTGGAAACCCAATCATTTCAGGATGTGTTTGTCTACCCGTTTCAATCCCTCGTTTGCCTTTTCTTTTTCTCCTCCATGATTCTTGGTCCTCTCGAAGAGCATTTCCAGGGGGAAAGAGGGACAGACCATAACAGAAAATAACAGGAACAGAAGCAAGAGCTGAGTTGCATTTGGAAGTGAAAGCCACCGCAACAAGGAACAAGCTTCTGGTCTGCGCCATCCCCTGACCCGTTTTTCCCCCCAGTCCCATCGTGGGCCTTGAACTTACTGTTGGAACAAGCAGGAACGCTGCAGTACTCCCAAGTATACTTTCCCTTTTGGTAAACGTAGCACCACGGTCTGGAATCCATGTCTGGATTTCTAAAGAGAACAGAAACATGGCCAAGGTGGTGGTTAAGCTTTCCTTGTTAACAGGAAATCAAAACAAACTCTGCAGCCCCAGAAAAGCCAAAACAAATGTGCTCGTTTGTAAAACAATTCATAGGCATGTTTGAATAAAGTATCCTTAAGAATGTCAACAATTGATCTGAAGGTTGAAAAGCAGGGCCGGGCTTCCCTTCTTCCACATCGGCCCTCCAGCTTTCTACTAGATGGACAAATCTTGTGAGATCAAGAACCTGAGCTTGGAGAAATTCTTCTTTTTCTTTTTCCTTCCTCATTCACCCTTTTCTTCTGTGCCGTGTCTCTTTAGACGGTAAGCGGTCTTGCCTTTGCTTGAAAGGACAGGAACACTTTCCCAGCGGCGGTAGTTTATAAATGTCACCAGCCCGTGTAGAAGTCAAATACAAGAAAGTATTTTATTTTTCTCTCTGTGCGTGTGTTTGTGTTTTGTGTGTGTGCGATTTAAAGGCCACCTTTCTCCCCATAGAGAACCGAGGTCAGCTTACAATTAAAACTATGCAATAATCACAGATTTTTAATTGAAAAAAACTATACTAAAGCAAAGATTTATCAATACTAAAACCACAATTAAAAACCATTTAAAAACATCTTTTAAAATCTCTAAAATCAATAAATGTGGCATTCCAGAGACCCTCCCTTATGACTTGGAAGCAGAAGAGGGAGGGGGCCGGCCTAGCTTGACACGGCAGGCGGCGTGATCGAAAGCATCTGGATGTGGCGACACACCATGGGGTTGGACCCAACCGACTGAGCCTCTACGAGGTCCAAATCCTCACCGGCAGTAGTTATGGTTGCCCAGTCCCAGCCTCATGGCGCCCGGCCGGTGTGCGTTGTGCTGCTTATTGATCAAGGCGCTGCTGTTCCAGTTTAAGCACTCCGCTCCGCTCTCCGTAAGACTCCACGTCCCTCTGTACGTCTCTCCTGCATCCTGGTAACAAGACGCTTTGGTGTCTGAATGAAAAAAAGAAGCAAAGCATCATAGGTCTCTACCCTGTCTTCTTCCCTTGTCCCGTCCGTGAGCAGAGTCAACAAAAACTTTAAAAGGGATCATCACTGTAAAGAGGATGGTGGGGCGAGCACCCCGTTCGGCGGGCAATGGGGCACCAGCCCAGGGGCCAAAGCACCCACCCAACTCACACCAGAGGGGTTGGAGGGGTGAGGAGGGGAGGGGCAGACCTGGGGAGGAGAGGCCCCCCCTCTCAAGACGGATGGCCCCAAACTGCCCTGCCCATGCAGGGGGTGCTGCGGAGGAAGAGAGGGCTTACCCCCAGCATCACAGGGAGATAGGAGCCACCTTGCCAAAAACAGAGGCAGAGGCTGAACCCAGGGAACCGACAGCCACCCAGATCGGATGCTGGCAGAGAAAAGCCAGCGAAAAAGGCCAGAGCCAGCGTGAGAGGGAGGGGGCTGGTCTGTCAGGTCGGGGTAAAGGAGGACCTCCAGGGAGGGGACTCTCACCTCCCGGCCCTCACGTTGGGCAGACCGGCCTTTGCTCTAAGAGGTATCTTGCTTGCGATACCGACAGAGCCCCAGGGCTGGATCAAAGAGTGGCCGGCAATTGGCCTCCCTGGTGAAAAGAATCCGGGTTGCTGAGGAGGGCAGATACCCCAGTGAAGGGAACGGGCAAGAGTCAAGAGACTCTTGAGCCAAACATGGGACCCATCAGTGAACCCAACGAGGTCAGAGGAGTCTACGGCTCCTGAAACTCAGTTAAATGTTACTCCTTTTCTGGTTCCTTCAAACCCTCTTTTGTTTGAACATTCTACAAAAAGAAAATATATTCCCTGAATGGGTTACTGCCACGATCTGCCCTTGGAGGTGGCACTTAGTCCACGGGGCAGCTGTGCGCCACTGCAGCTGTGCAACAGGATCAAGAAGATAAGGCTGTTGGAGGCTGCCTGGAATTTGAACGGAACCGTTACAGGACAATCCTACCCCACACGTTTTCCTGCTTCACAATGCCATCTGCCTCAGGCGTTTTCAGCTGCCACCTCAGTGAAAACACTGTGGGAGACAACCCCATTCCTGCTGGGACTTCTGCCACTGAGGTGCACGCACTGAGAGGATTTTTATGCATCTAGTGTTCGTCCGCTGCCAACACTTTTGTGCTCTTCCTACTCACCAATCTCACAGTGTTTCCCGGAGAAGCCTGGTGGGCACAAGCAGATGAAGAGGCTGGGCGAGTATAAGGCTTGTTGGCATCGGCCCCGGTTGAGACACTGCGGCCTCAGGCAGCCTGTTATGGAAAGTAAAAGACCGTCTTCGCTTGTCTCCTTTCGTGACACTCTATTTCCAGCCTTTAACCCTCATGACATGGTCCTATGTTTCAAGGGCATCTATTCTGTGGAGGGTTCTTGGTTTAGGTCTGGATCTCCCCAGTGGAAGGATCTCAGGTGACAGGAGCAAGGAGAATTCTCCACTTAGAGAATTAGACTGACTGGACTTCAGAGTGGGCAAAACTGTGAGCTTGTATTCAAGACATTTTGGTGCCCGCAGCAATGGACAGCATGGAACCCTCCACTCCCATGCCATGCCAACTGGACTGGTGGGCAAAGAGAGACTGGTGGCAGAGCAGACAGCATCCTCTACCTGCGTATCAAGGCAACAGGTTAGGGTTAGGGGGGTTTTCCAGACCAGCAACGTGGCCTGCACATACGCTTTGTTGCCTTCCAGCAAAATGAATGGCTGGGGGCAGAGGAGACATGAGGAATTCACAGAGAGCTCATACGGCTGTCCTTCAGCCGTTGAGGCAGTTGCCTTGCTCAGTCAAACAGTAGGGCCGGCCCTGCCTATGTTCCTCTTGGTTCAGCATCTCTTAGCAGATCTACGTGCCCCAAACTTAGAGGGACGATCACGAAGACATGAACCAGAGTCTCGCTCTCAATGGCCTCAATGTCTCTCCACCTTGAGCTAATCAGAGGAGAAGCAGAAGAGCAACAGAACTTTTGAAATCAGATCGAGAGATTCGTGGAGGTCCAGAGCCTTGGGCTGCCCATCCTCTGCCCAGAAATCATGGCCAGCACAGCGAGTGGTGGAGGCTTCTGGGCGTTTTAGTCCAAGAACATCTGGGGACCCAAGATTGGGAACCACGGTTCCAGAGCAAAGGTTATGTTGTGTGTACCACCACAACTAAACCATTTCTGCCATGAACCAGAGTCCCGGGAACCTTCTGGAATTCATTGAAGGTAGCCATGAAAGTTCTGGTCCCATCCGCCCCCGTTTCCCCATTCGCAATGCGCCCAACGCCTAACCGGGACCCACCTTGAACAGGCACTGCATGGCAAAAGACACCGTGGCTCTCGCAACGACAGTATTCAATGCGTCTGTTCGCCTGCCGCAGCCAAATCTCCCTTTGCTGGTAGATCTGTTGGGTTATCTGGTCTTTGCATACGACTGTAATCAAGAGATGGGAAACCCTCCTCTGAAGACAGATCCCACAGCACCATTCCTCACCCTCTTAAGTACCAGTGTGGTTTAGTTGGATGAAGACTCAGGAGACCTGGGTTCAAATCCCTGTTCAGGCATAGACACTCACCAGGGGGTGGGCACCGGTAGAACCACTCCTCTAATATCTCCCATGCCTTCAAAACCTTATTCATAAGAATTGTGTGCCATCAAGCCAGTTCCAACATAGGGTGACCTTTTCCAGGTAGAGAATATGTACTTCTTCTGGGGTGCCCTGGGACTATGCAGTTTGCCCAAGGCTACCCAGGCTGGCTCTTCTCCCAGGAGCCACAAAGGGGGAATCAAACGCTCAACCTCTGGGTCCACAGTCGGAGATCTAACTCACTGAGCTATTCAGCCAGTTTGCTATAGATTGGGTACAACTTGGCAGTACATAACACACTCACACAAGTACCACATTTTCCTTTGTTCCTGATCACCAATCACCCGTCCGGGGGGGGGGGGACTTAGTCCCTACCACTATTGTTCTACTGACAGTTACCTGGAGGTCATAGGGGCACCCAGTTTTTCTTAAAATTGCTTCTCAAGACGTTCAAATCATCTGATTCTTTTGAACATGAGATGGGAACTGTACTGTTATCAGACCAACCACCCTTGACCTCCACTTTTCCTATGATTCCCCCTTTCCAAGTCTTCCCCCAGTTAAAAAATCCCCATGTTTCCTTATTTCCAAAATTTGTAGGGTTCCGTCCAGCAAATTAGGTAATAGGTTTCTGTGTTTGCTAATATGTAGTATCTGGACACAGGTTGGTTTAATTGGTGTGTGATTGGGAAAAAAAGCATACAAATAAATAGAAGCAGCCGAGTTACAAAAGATGATCTGAACTTCCTCCAGCCCAGGGACACAACTACTACACAGCAAAAGACTAATTTATTTATTTAAAATACTTTTGTCCCACTTTTCTCCTTAAGAGGACCCAAGGCAGCTAAGTCAAGGTGAGATGAATCCTAAGTAAATTTCAAGATCCCTTAGGGATTCAACACAGCTTCAGCTAGCTAGTATCAGCTCAGCAAGTCCTGGGCCACCACGACCGGTTAGGATGTTACCCTCAATTCCTTACCTTTCCTGGGTCGTATTATTCCACGTGTTCCTCGTTTAAAGCGAGCAGTAGGGTTCTGCGGGGGGCAAAGAAAACCTTGTTTTTAAAAAAATTGCTGCTGACAGTGAAGTTACTTATGAATAACTGAACTCAACACAAAGTATCAGGGACTTTGGGGTTCTCAAATGACCTCTTAGTTATTTAATGCTTATTATTTCACTTCTCTTTAAAAAAAAGAGAAGAGACAAATCAAAGGTGTTTATAGTGCATCTAGTTAAAGCATGACTTGGTTTTCCCTCTGTCCACTTCCTGGTTTTGTTGAAAGCGTTTCAAAGTGATTGCCTTTATTGGTACCCCACTCTGACATCTGTTGATACAGCATACAAACAGACAGGCAGCAAACAAACATATTTATAAGTATGTGTTTTCACGAATGAGAAACCACTGCAGATCGATGAAAGTGATGGGCAGATAAACAGACCACTCCTGATAAAACAAGGGTCCCCGATTGCACGGAGATTTCTATACATGGCTTGGAGAAGTTACTTGGCGGATTAAAATTCTCAGCCACCACCATCCAGCCTACCCGACTAGTGGCCATGAGGGGTGGGGGATTCTGGGACTTGTAGTCCCAAAAAGTGGCTTTTCCAAGCTCTAGATTTCTACTCGCGCTTAAAAGTGCACGAGCTGAGCTCCCTTGCAGATGTTGCTGCTCGACACCAAATCCAGGAGTTGCGAAGAGGTTCAGGGTGGCTTCAGAGCCAGAGGCTCTAACCCATGTTGACCTGAAGAGGCCATTCAGGATTCACACCCCAAAGGTGTACTCCTATAAGAGTTACCCGGCAAAAGGGCTGATGTTTTTTCCCCAGTGAAGGTGCAATCATCAAGCAATTCAATATGCCTGTCCTGCATTTTGCACCTTCAGCCATGAGAACACATCATGTTTATCCTAGCACATGCTTTTCCTCATCACCATTCCTTTGCAGCAGGCCCCACTAGAAAGCAAACACAGCATTCATCTGCAAGTTTAATCCCCAAGGCATGGAAGACATTTTGTCCATGGAAGAAAAACTTGCCAAGAACAGAGACTGTGCAGCTACTTGGACCCTCCACTGTACATTCATTGCTGGAGGAAATAATTAATTACAAGCAACTCACTGTTTGCAGTTAGTTACTGCAAGCTGAACTTTGTTGGTGGGTGGGTGGGAACAACCGCTCATGTCCATTCCTGGTGCCCTCAGAAGCCGACAAAACAGCAGCCTCTGAGGCATGCCAGTGAACTTTGTAACGAACATTCAAAGAGCTGAGTTTGCTTTTCTGCCCCTCTATCTTTTCTTCCCTCTTTCCCCCTTTTGTGTTGAGGCCTGCAGACCATAAATGTGGCGTCTCTACCCGATTGTTCGGCAGTGACTGCTTCATTCCTTTTGCCTGAAGAACGGGGCAATAAAAGCTGCAAGTAAATAAGTAATGGAAGAAAAAACAGACCCAGGAGGCCAGCAGGAGCTTCCGTCTGATGTGCCAACAGCTGGAAAGAAGAGCCACCATCAAACACAAGCCCCCCCCCCAACGCCCACCCTGGTCTCCCAGACTCTTACCGAACTCTGAAGGGTCGTGATTGCTCCTGAGAGCAGGAGGAGAAAGAAAAAATCCTCGAGTCTCATGCTGAAGTCTTCGAGCAATTAGGCACCTAAAAGCAAAAGAAAGTAGAGGAAAAAGACAGAGCCTTGAATATCTAACACAACATCCTCAGGCCTCCGGCTGGAGCAGGAGATCACGCCTGCCAAGGCAGGGGCCAAGAACGGACCGGCTTCTCCAAGAGGCTTTACTGGCTCCGGCAAAAGCAGCATTAAGCGCAGCAGATGGCGACGGATCTGCCCCTCCGTGAGCCGAATTCAGAGCAGCAGCTGCAGCCGGGCAATGTTTACTGGTGGATTTAAAGCCAATCGGACTCATCTGTTCAAGTAGTTTAACCCTGTCTGGTCGCATCGCCCCAGGCTGGCTGTCTCCACTGCAGGTCCCTCCCGCCGGCTGGCTGTTGAAAGTAGGTTACTTGGCCTGGGAATGGGGTTTGTGGTCTTCGGCTCTCGGCTTGCCTTGGCCACTCGGGCTTTTTTAACCTCCTTGACTCACTTCCCCACAGGCGAGTAAAAGCCTCCCCTAGCCTTAGGGCCAAGAGCGAGGCCACCGCCTGCCCTGTAGGTTTTGGCTGCCCTGCCATCTTGAGGCAATTATTTCCTTCGCCCCGACTCCTAGACCATGGAAAGAGCTTCTCATAGCCGAAGTAGCAAAATGAACCCAGAAAGGGGCTTTCTAAAAGTCATCCCTTATGTCCAAAATGAAGTCAGTTTTCATAACAGCTAATATTTTAAAAACTCTATGCTTTCACATTTCTCAAAAGTCACTAAAATAGTTATTTCCCCTCCCCCCCTGGGTTTTAAAAACTCATCTAAGTGAAACAACACCATCAGTGACAATGGACTGCGTTCTTCCTCACTCTTGTTGTGGCCTCAACATTTACCGCAGGAATGGTAAAGGTAAGTTATTTTTCCTAGCCAGAATTCTGCTACTTATGTCTGCACAACTAACTCCTACAGCATAGTTTTCAACAACTGATTTCCAGCAGTTCAGAAGTCAGTGTCGATTAGAGACTTCCTTTCCTCAGTGTCAGGAGAGCACATGGCTTTATCTCATTGCATGCCAGCCGTTCACACACTGAAATAAAAAAAGGAAGTCTTTTATCAACAGCAAAAATGAACATGACTCCCATAGATGTTTCTTCAGAAGTAAGACCTGCTGCAGTCAGAGTTTACAGGAGAGATGTGGAACTTCGGCTCTCCAGAGGTTTCGGATTGCAACATCCACAATTCCCTATCCCTGGCTGTGCTAGCTGTGACTGATGGGATATGGAGGCCAAAACATCTAATGGGCCAAAGGTAATAGAAAGATGGTGCAGAAAGTTGCAGTTTAAGTGGCAATGCAATCTTATAAATGGAGGACTTGAAACCTGCCAGGGTTTCATGTTTCCAGATCCCACTTCTGAACCAAGAGTCTGCAAACCAAAATGTCAAATAAAACGCAGCTTTGCCAGCCTAAACTCTGCCAGGGGTTCTCAGCAGATCACCACTGAAGAGATGATTAATCTTTTACCCTTTTTGATCTTTCACCCCATGACAGCACTTTAATGGCCAGCGGGGAAGGAGAATAGCAGAGGGGTGAGTCACTTGACAGGGAGACAAAACAGAAGAGGAGTAAGAGGAGAAAATTTGGATTGGGGGGGGGGGAGAAGAGAAAACAAGACCAAGTTAACTATTTCAGGCCCTCCATCATGTCCCAGAAGATTCCCCAAAATAATAATAATACCCTTTGGTATATTTTCTAATCAGCATCGCTGGCTGAGGTTCAATTTGCCACCAACCTTTCTACTTTCCTTCCCCATCCCTCAATTAGGCTGAAAAAGAGGGAAGGGGACTGGGCATCAAGCAAAAGCAGGGTCTGAACCTGAAACGCCCTAGTGGAAGGCCTAACCCTCTTCGACCCATGGGCTGTGCAAGTAAAGCTTAGCCATTTGGCACCTCTTCACAACAACCAACATTTGCTGCCTTAGGCAAAAGCCTCCTTCTGTCTAAGGCAACACAGTCTAAGTCTGCCCAAGGTCAGAAGGAAATGTTCTTGACAGGAACCTTCTGGTGCCCTCTCCCTTCCTCCCTTTCAGTTTTACACAACGCCCCGGAGCAGAAACAGCAGAGCCCAAAGTATTCTGAGAATACACAGAAGTGCATTACCCTTACCTTCCTCTAGGGGCAACCTTGGGACGGTGCAGCTGGCCCAAGGCCACCCAGGCTGGCTCTTCTCCCAGGAGGCACCAGTGGGGGAATCGAACTCCCAGCCTCTGCAGACCTAAACCTTAACCTGGCTGCTGAAACGTCTAGTAATGCCTCTGGTTCCACCCCCAAGCTGTGGTTGGGGATGATATTGGGGTTTTAGTGCATCATCAGGTTGACAGACACTGGTGCAGGATTTTGCAGCTAAACAGACCAGTCTAAAATGAACCTCTAGGGAGATGGAAGCTTTCCTAGCATTGAAAGGTGTTCGTTTCCGGTAGCAAGACAAACAGACGGGCAGGTTCTTCTTTTGTTCTAGTGTGAATTATGCAAACAGGTTTTAGAAAGCATGAAAAAAAATCCTTGTGAGCACAGAAGGCCTTCAAACCTCCCGAGGGCAAAACGGACTGTCTCCAGTCAGAGTGACTGTTTGCTTTTATATAGCCTGGGGACTGGCATCCTAGAAAAGGAAGCCAAGCTCTTCAGAATTTTTTAAAAAGGAACTCCAAGGACTTTGTAAGAGAGCAAGACATGGGTTTCTCTTCTGGAATACCCTCCACCAGGAAGCGCACAGAGTCCCCCTCTTCTAACTTTGAGGAAGAGCCAACAAAGCGACTTATTCCAGGCTGCAGGAGGCTAATTTGTGATGTACACAAACGCTTAACAGAGATTCTCTCTGCTGCCACGGCTCCCTTGCTTGCTAGTCTGTTGATGCACGTAGTAAATATTGCTAAGGGAAAGAAAGGATAGAATTAGGCATGGTTGGGATGGGCTTCGTAAGCCTGGAAAAGAGGCCAGAAATCCATGAAGGAAACGGATCAATAGTACACAAACTGCTGGATAGTATTCAGCTCTTTTAAAGCTGGGGTTTCTCCTTCTCCCCGCATTGCTGCTGCTGTGTGATCTTGAACTTCATCTCAAAATTTTGCAAATCTCCTGGCGGGCTCGTGAGTGCTTTGTTGGCATGAACGAATCTCAACCATTGTACTGACCGAAGCACAGATCCTGCCCTCTGTCCGGCGTGCCTGGGCCATTTTCAATAGCCCTCCAGGGTGCCTGCGCCTTGCGGTTGCCAGCTGTGCGCTGAAGCCCTCGGCTGTTTTCCCTGTGTTCAACAGCCAAAACCAAGGATGTTCAATAGCGATAAGCTATCTAACTGGAGCCAGATGGCCAAAGATGTGTGAGAAATGCAACAGTGTTTATATGGCTAGAAGCCTAGTCTGGCAAGCCATGTCGCAAGTCAAGTAAAAAGATGAGAAAGAGCCCTAGACGTTGCTAGAAGCCAATAAGACGCCCCTGGAGATTCAAAAGGGACCCATTTCAGCCCAACAGCCAGTTAGCTCCATGTCTGGGTCACCCGTGCCGATCCGTTCTTACATACACTGTCCAAACGATGGTGTGATACAGGCAGAAAGCCGATCAGAAAAGACACCTCCTATGAGAGGACGCTACAGCAAAAACAAGTCAAGAGGCCGCAGGGTGTGTGTGCGGTGCTTAGAGCCGGACTAAGGCTCAAGAAGATCTAGATTCAAATGCTGCTTTGGACTTGAAGCTCAGCAGTGGATCGTGGGTGCTTCCTGGCTCCTGGCAGGGTCAAAGATAGCCAGGATATCAATGTCATGAATTATAGCCAGACGGCTATTGGTGATGGACGCAGGCCAAAGTCGGCTCGGTGGCTTAGGTATCTGGCTACGGAGCCAGAGTTTGAGAGTTCGATTCTCCACTGAGAAGAAAACTGTGTAGCCTTGGTCGAGCTGCAGAATCTCAGGGCACCCCCCCCCAAAAAAAGAAGGAACCAGTAAATCACTTTTAAATAGGAAGCAGTTTTCTTTCTGTATTATGTCCTCTTATGCATGCCAAGTATTCAGTATCATATTGCTAATTTAGAAAAACCCAAAGGTAGCCATGTGGGGAAGACCGTGTCTGCAGATACAGTGACCAACAGAAGGAACTGAGCATTCCTCAAGGGGTCGGCCTAAGGCAGTCCATTCTTAGCATCGTCTGGGGAATTTGGAAACCTAGTGGATGTGGGGTTTTTTAACTGATCATTGACAAACCTGCAGACTTTAAATACGAACAGCAGGGAAGTCTGGCTGGCTCAGCGAGTCCAAGACCTTCTGCTGCCTGAGTCACACCCAGACGGTCAACTGAATTTTCCTTGAGTAAAAGGTCTACAATTTCCAGAGTCCCTGAAAGTAGAACTCTACTGCCACCTCAGAGAATTTGCTGCCCAAGGGAGCCGTTTCACCATGCCTAATGGCAGAGCCAGGCCTGCCGGTCAGACCACATCAAGAGCTTACCCAGTGCCACATTCTGTTCTATATGGAGCCAACCCATTCCCCAAGAGATAGATGCCCACAAGGAGGGCACACTGGGGCAAAAAAAAAAAAACCCTCTTTGCCTACATTCAAGTTCCCCAACAGGGATCCTTTTGGAGTCATGCTGCTCCTTGATGCTGCTGCCCAAAACACGGGGGCCTCATCCTTCATGAAATTGCATGATCCCATTGTAAAGGTTTTCAAGTGGGTGGCTGTCAAGTCAGCTCATCTTCTGCAAGTAACTATGTGCCCTGTGAAGGACTGCTTCCTTTTGTCTACCCTGAATCTCCAGCATTTAGCTTAATGAGATAATCGTGGGTTCCAGTTTTATTGGGGCCGGCTGGATAGCTCAGTGGTTTAGGCTTCGCCAGAGGTTAGGAGTTTGATTCCTGGGAGAAGAGCCAGCCTGGGTAGCCTTGGGCCAGCTGGACAGTCCCAAGGCTCCCCCTAGAGGAAGGGAAGGGAAGACCATTTCTGAGTACTGTATTCTCTGAAAACCCTGAAAAAGGGTTGTCATAAATCAGAATCGGCTTGGAATCGGTTTAACGGCACATGAGTATTATTATTATAGTTTTATCAGAGGGCTGGACATCCCCCTCCCAAGTTACTGCACTTCATACATAATATGCCAAGGGACTTTTGAAACTGAACGAGAAACAAGAAATGCAGGTGGTTCTTAACCTAACATCCACCAAACCTAAACCTAGACCATCCTGGCGATGGTGCACAACCGAGAGCGGTCGTTCTGAGGCACGAGCAGTGGTCTTGCTCGCTGCCGTAGGAACATCCTTCCACGAATGCTCCCTTTGTACAAACTGGCTTTGCTAGGGCAACGGTTATCTCTGGAATGCTCCCTGGAAATAAACGAAAGATCCAAAGAGTCACTTAAGGGAATGGGCCCTTTCCTCCGATCCACTCCTTCTCCTTCTGGATTTCCTCAAAGGGAGGTGCCTCAGCAATCGCTCTGTCACAAGGCTGTGTTTACAAAATAAAACACAGTAAATGCAAGATGCGTGGAGGCATAGATAAGGAAAAGTCTGTGCTGTCACAAACAGACCTCTTTCAACACTTGAGAACTGTGTCTAAAAACAGGAGGAGTGCATTATTTCATGTCACTCCAAAGCGCTGACTCTGGATTTCTTACCCCTTGAGTTGAATCTGCATGTAATATAAAACAGGAGGAGTGCATTATTTCATGTCATTCTAAAGCGCTGACTCTGGATTTGAGTTGAATCTGCATTTAATATTACGGTACTGAGTATTCTTTTCAATACAAAACAAGGAGTAGAAGAACCCTAAATGTATCCCTCTACAGCAGGATACAACCCTGAAATTGTTACTGGTGGTGAGATAAGGCAATCCTGATAAAGCAGAGAACGGTGCGGCAAATCGGGCATCACCAAGCTTTTTGGTTCAGCCTGGATAAGCAAGAGAGAAATCAGACGCTGGGACAGTCTTAGCCTTGCTCTATGACACCATAGCTTGTGGCCAGAAGACAAGTAACATCAACGCAAGGTCTTCGCAAGGTTTCGGGAATGCCAGGTTGCCCTCCTTACTGAGTTACCTTGGGCCGGTCCTTTCTCTTAGCCTCACCCTCCTTTTCCATCCCACCAGGTCTCCAGAACTTCCTCTAGAAGCCCAAAATTGCTAAACCAAGGTGATCCTACTTTGGGCACCTCGTGAGAAGACAGGTCTCCTTGGGAAAGACTGTAAGGCTAGGAGAAGCTGAAGACCACAGGAAAAGAGGAAGACCAAACATGAGGTGGATCTACTCCATAAAGGAAAATACAGCCAGGAGTTCGTAAGACCTGAGCAGGGCAGTTGATGATAAGTCTTTTTCGAGTCACTAATTCAGAGGGTCGCCATAAGTTGGAAGTGATTTGAGGGGACATCAACAACATTTCCCCAGTGAGGTCCTTTGATCCATCCCTCAATTTTTATCATCACGAAAACCCTTCAGGGTAGATAATGTTGAGTGAGCACAGCAGGCTCAAGGTCACTCAACAAACTCTACGAAGGGGGGGGGATTAGGTGGACCTGGTCTTAGGCCAATACTCGAATGCAATGGTTCCCAACCTTGGGTCCCCAGATGTTCTTGGACTAAAACTCCCAGAAGCCTTTGCCACCAGCTGTGCTGGCCAGGATTTATGGGAGTTGTCATCCAAAGATGTTCTGGGGACCCAAGATTGGGAACCAGTGCTTGAGACACTCCACCACATATTCTCTCTCTCTCTCTCTCTCTTGGAGAAGCATGGGGAGAGGGAAAACAAGAGTCCTGGGGGGGGGTGTTACAAGTCCCAGAATCCTTGGCCAGCATGGACTACAGCTACCAGAATCCCCCCACCAGCATCACCTTTGAAAACTGCAGTCCGTGATAGTACCTCTCCCAAGCTCTGTGAAAAAATCATTCAGTTTCTCTCTCTCTCTCTCTCTCTCTCTCTTAGGGTCAAATGCCCTTTTCTCCCCTTGCCCTCTGGACAAGAGAGGACGTCATACAATGACGTCATCGGGACCCGGGGGGGCGCACCTTCTTGGCCGACCGGATCCCCCCCCGCCCCCCAAGATCAGCTCTGGACAGACCTGAGAGCCACGGCCCTCCCTGGCCACACAATTTCCAGCTAGGGATGGAAAGGAATTCTGATTCTGTTGGTGAGTTAGAAACAACCCCTGCTGCCCTCATCATCCTCTCATCTCCTGGAGCATCCCGGAGGGCTCCTGCCCCGCACCTGCTAGGGGGCCAGCGATTCAAGCCCCGGAATAAGCCGACCAAGGGAGCGCCCTCCCTCCGGCCCGCGACCCCGAGCATTCACACGCCTCCCCCGACATAACGCGTTGCACAGGTGCTGGCTGGGGGATTCTGGGTGGTGTAGTCTTTCCCAAAACAAAACAAAAAACAAACGCGTGTCAGAAAAAGCAAGCCCGGCTCTTTCCTTCCTCCCTCCCTCCCTCCGGCGCTCAGCACCAGCACGGGTCTCCAGATCTGCGCGTGCAGAATGCGTCCCTGGAGGACCCGTTGCCTCCCATGCCCGCCCGCCCGCCTACCTTGGGGTCGGTCGGCCGGCCGGTCCCAGCCTCCTGCTGCCAGCTGCGGATGATGCCCGGGATCCCTGCCTCTCGGTCCGCTTGGCTCGCTCCCTGATGCGAGGCGCCTTCCCAGCCCCGGTTTAAGAAGCCACCGGCCGGCCGGGAGGCGGAGTGGGAGGCGGGGCGGCGCCGGGAGTCACGCCGGGCCGCGTTCGGACGACCAGGGCGAGACGCGGGGCAGCGAGCGCGTCGGGGCCGGCAGGGAGACTCTCCACCCCCGCCCGTGGGTTCGCGTGCAAGGGGGGGGGACAGAAAAGCAAGGCAAGGGGCCGCGGAAAGAGCGGGGCTCGGCCCTCGGTGTCAACCCTGCTGGGGGATTCCCACGACCCTGGGGCCCTCTTTGCGTGTCTTCTTGGCTACCCTTCTCTGAGCTCAGGGTCTCCCTCGCTGCTTCCTGGCACGAAACTTTTCCCGTAAAGAGAACGGCGCCGGGGGACGATTTTAGTAGAAAAGATAAAGTTTTGGGGGGGATGTACAGTATGGTGTAATGATAAAGTCAGGACATGACAAGAATTGCAAAACTATGTATTTTATTTTAAATTTATTTATTTTATAAACTACTGCACTGGTTTTATTTTTTTAATACAGTATTAAGTTTTTAAAATACTGTTTATGTTCATTTTATTTAGTGTTATTTAAGATTGACTTTATTTACTATGCATTGCATTGACTTTATCATACCAAACATTATTACAGAATACCTTGTTTTATTTAGCAATGTCTAACCCATTATTTTGTTTAGTAGTAATTTTATTTATTATTATTTAAGTTTATATAAACCTTACTTTAAGTTCCTTGGTATTACCTTTATCTATCTATTAATTTATATTTCTTTCTTTATATTAACCTTATTTATTTAAAATCAACTCAAGGGGTGATGGAGGAAACAGCTTTTGATGGTGGTGGATATATTTTCCCCTCCCCTTCTTCTGTGGTCTTTAAAATGGTTTAAGTCCGCAGTGGCCATAATACTAAAACACACAGTAGCATTCAGCTTTAATTTGTTTTTAACCATTTTATAAGCCACCTGAGGGCCCTGCAGTGGTAGAAAAGTAGGATATAAGTAATTTAAATAATCACATTTTTATTTTCCCAGCTGGCTAGAGAGCTCAGTGGTTTAGAGATCTGCCTGCAGAGCCAGAGGTCAAGAGTTTGATTCTCTCACTGTGCCTCCTGGACGAAGAGCCAGCCTGGGTAGCCTTGGGCAAACTGCACAGTCCCAGGGCGCCCCTAGTGGAAGGGAATGGTAAAATACTTCTGATTATTCTCTGCCTGAAAAACCCTGAATTTTTTTTTACCCTGAAATCCCAGAATTCACTTGACGACACATTATGATGATGATTACAAATGCTTTATTTGGAATCTCAGTGAAAAGTTGCTTCGAGGCTGATAGACTATGGTGATGATGCAGTCAGCACATGAACATAAACCTGCAGCTCTCCATGTGGGCCACGTGCAAAAACACACACACACACCCAGTGCTGTTTCTACAGAGTCTGGTTCCCTCGGAGGTCCCTCCCCAACCGCACCCCCAAGGATGTGTGGAACAAAGTGTGGGAAACTTTGCACAGGTCGCATTGAATGAATGCGAGGAAGTAGCAACAAAGAAGCATGCCGGAGACCCACAGGTTTGGCAGGCCTCCTTGACTGTGGGAGGAGGTGCTGTTTCACCCAGAACACGGTAATATATATATACAGCTAAGCTTCCCAGTAGACGCCTGGAAAAGTGACTTTGGGGAATATAATTCTGATGGAGCCAAGAATATGTCACATATTAGCGTTCTGATGCAAGTCACTGCCGGATAGCTTGGTGGTTTAGGTCTCTGGGTGCACGGCTGGGAGTGTGATTCCTCATTGGGCCTCTTTGGCAGGGTTTGGACTTGATGATCTACAGGGTCCTTTTTGTCCTTCATAGTCAAAGAAGACCATTTCCCTCTGATCCCCTATTTATGGAGGAAAAGAAGAAGCGGATGCTTAAGTTCAAGCAGGAATAAAGCGATGTGACAAACCAGCCCAATAAAAGCCCAGAAAATGCAGAATCCGTGGGGGCAGGATAACCAGTCCTGGCCTTGTTCGGCTGTCAAGATGTTCCACCCTTGCTTTCACACTCTTCTCTGTCCCTTTGAGCATCCTGGATTCTTTTCTTATCAAATTCTTTAGCCCCTCGTTTGACAGCATTTCACCAGACAGATGATGAAAATCATTTGCACGGAGACTAAAGAAATGGGGAAGGTGGGAGGGAGGAAGAAGCTTGCTGTCATTCCTCTCAATACTGAGACGAACTGGGACAATTATCCATCCATTCTAGCTCCTCGGGCTGTATACCAGCAAGCCGTGGGCTCTCATGCAAGTACAACACGCTATTAGACATGTAAGTCAATGGGAAGGGTATGTCCCATTAGAAAAAATAACTGATTACTTGCTATGAAGTAACAGATGAATAAAGACAAATGAGAGGGCTTGGTCTTATTATTTATTTCTCTATTTTTGTATTCCTCTTTCCTGTATGGTATATTTGAAGCCGTTTACAAACTGGTGAAGACATCACAGCATGACACGTAAACATTAAACTTATTTTTAAAAAAACAGATCAGGTTTCATACACTGGAATTGCTCTCTGTTATCAGGAAGTTTCCTACAACAAAGTACTTGGACAATATCTGGTTGTTGTTGTTTTTTAATGGCATCGATCTGTACAAGCACGCAGTAAGATCACTCAACCTTCATCCCCCTCTGCAGTTGCCTAAAAGTTCAATACTGTATCTGAATCGAGGTGCAGGGCAGGCTCCTCATACCTTAATGCACTGCAATGAATGCAGGTCATTTCACATGGACACAATGTGCCTGCCTATAGCTTCTAGATACTCATTAATTTAATAAATTATGTTTTTCTTTCCTGTTGGAACATGGTTTGCCTGTGGATCTAGAGGCCAGTTTCTTATCAAGGCACAGAACAGCATCGGAGGTTCCCTTACCTGCAGGATTCTAGATACGGTGGCCTACATCTCCCATCCTCTCTAGTCAACAGGTTGACTAGGCATTTGGGAGTTGTCATTCAACAGATCTGGAGGCCCCCAGAATGAAGAATTAGAGAACTTTGCTTCAGTAGCAATGGTTGTCTCATGGGCCTTCAGAACAGGCCCAGGCAGCAAAATACATTTGAATCCCATGATTATGTCATAACAAGTGCAATAAAACATTTGCAGTGCAAGTTTTCCTTTTAATGGGCATGCCTCTGCATGGAGTTCCAGGCAGTCATATCCTTCTTCAACTTTTAATTCCTTCCCCTCGTAAATTCTATTTCAGTTGAACTCAACATTTTCGAGCTACCGAAAGGATGATGATGACACTGACAAGACAATTTTCAGTAATCAAAGATTTCCTCCTTCTGTCCTGCAGCTTTCATGGCTTGCATGCAATGAAACGATTGACTCACAAGTCAGACATACCATGGGACAGAAGGAGGAAGTCTTTAATTGTTGAAACTCTGCCCATGTCTGTGATGTCACAACGCTTGCTCTGAAGGCTGTACCCCACCAACCCTAACCCATAACATTCCCAACCTCTGCTTTTTACAAAGGAAGAAGCTTATATACTTTGCTTCTCTCATTAAATAAAGCCAACAATATCCTTCTTTCTACCAACACACTTTGCTCTAGAAGCTGCTTCAGAACACTGCTACATAGTAAGAGACGAACACAGACTACATGCCTATATGTGCTCCAACTCCCCAGCAAACATGTTTTGGCAAACATTTATGAGCCTTAGTTAAGGATATTTTTCTGCAGAGAAGAAGATTGCACAATATATATGTGTGCTCAGTCCTTTGTATCACACTTTATACTTCTTTCCTCCTGCAAACACAATTCAGATTAAAGCTAAATCTGCAACTTAGCATACGGCTGATACAACAGAGGGAAAAGCAAACATGGGATGATTTATATCTGCGACTTTTTAGCAGGTACAATATTCTGCAGGGCAATTAGGATGGTCAGTAAAAGAACCTTCCCAATTAATTGTTCTCCACACAGATTTGTGCTTATGAGGCAGTTCTCCCTTGCAGTCACCTGAGTGGTACCAGGAAACCTGATTCATTTCAACTCCCATTTTGGATCTGAACAGCAATTTTATGCAAAAATTTAAAAGAAAAATCACTGCATTGGTTGCTCATCCAGGAAAGTCACGGGGTCTTGTCATCCGGAAAAAGATGGGACGCCGTTAGTTGAGGACGTCACCCATCCACTTTTGCCAGGAGGAAATCCTGCCCAGGCTTCTGCCCACACTGTTCCAGGCCTTTTCGCAAGGCTGGGCTATGCGTCCCAAAACAGTGCTTTTTGGGAAGCTGCCCCAAAATGTGGTTTCCAAACTTGGTTGCGGATTCTGATGAAAAGTGGCGCAGAATCCAGCTGGAGTCGACCGGAACTGCGACCCTGTCTTGCTTTTGTAAAGGATAAAGTTGTTGATAGAAAACCGTGATAGTAAACATGGAAAGAGATTCCATTTCCTGTAAGGTCACCTCGGGGGAATTTAATAATACTCGTAGTCAACATCTGAGTACAAATAAAGTTCCGTGGAACTAAGTTTGAACGTTAACAATGAAATAGTTTATTGAGTACTCGAGAACTTGATAAGAGGCAGCAATTGGGTGAAGTAAATACATGATGACCCCAGAAGTCAGCCTTTGAATAAGCAAGAACATGCGCAAAGGCAAAGAAGTGTACAATAAACAGAATTTGTGCCTCATCCAGAAATATTTTATGATGTAGGAAACATGGAATCAAGTTTAAAGGGATGACTAGTTTAGTCTATTCGTGGAAAAATTTAAGAATGATGTGGCACCCCTGAAGGGTAGGAAATGGTATTATAGCAGGAGCTTTAATGGACTGTAGATTAAATGTGTTATTGAAATGTAAGGTATCCATAAGCCATCACCAGTTTCAGAAAATTGAACATCCAGGGGGAAAACATCCTAAATTAGCTCATTATAATTATATTAATCATGCCCCCTTTGCTACAGGGAACATATAAATCCCCTGTTACAACAGCTCCAATGGCTGTCAATTCATTTCCAGGCACAATTCAAAATGTTGGTTTTAACCTAAAGAGCCCTAAACGGCCTGGATCCAAGCTATCTCAAAGACCGCATCTCCCATTAC